TTTTTTTTACGAAATATGGGCTCGTAGTCACTATATGCTTGTAGTAGCACATCCATTTCTGTCGGGGAAAAACGCAGACCTATTTTGGCTTGGTCCTGTTGCCATGGTGACTCGTAATTTCTTCACTCCATTGTTCAGGGCTTTTTATAGTCGCGTGGCACGCGCCTAACTCTGAGTCAAACAACTCAGAGTTGATTAAACCAACTCTTTTCAGCTGTTCTGAAACCGAAAACTCTGAGTTTTCCAACTCTGGGTAAGTCAACTCAGAGTTCAGGTTTGAACTCTGAGTTTGTTAAACCGCCTTCTTGAAATAGGCCCCAGGACTTTAGGCAGTCACGCTCTGGTTTGTGTGTTTTTAAGAACAAAGCACCATCTAATGGTGACACCGTGCAAATCAAGGAATAGCTCTTTAATAGGTGTGTTTACTGTGGAATCTAGGAATGCCTTGTCAGGCAACAGGAGAAGGGGGGCCCCTGGAAGACTGACAGGAACCACATGGCAGCTGAAAGCCATTCAGCTGGGAAGTGCAATTCTAAGTGGCTGCTTCTGTATGTTGATTAGAAGGGTTCCTAATATCTAATTAATTGGATATTAATTATTGGATAAGAATTATTATTCTTGTGACAAATTTTATGATTAACTGTGTGACTGAAATGTCAAAGTGAAAGGCGATGGCAATCTAGTACAACAGGGCTGGACTGAAAGGATAGGACCATAATTATTAATAATATTTTCAACAATCCCCAAACACAGCAGAGAGCTCTCACTGAGGTCTTTCACATGTACAGTATGCTTGTAAAATCATATGGCTGTTCAGTCTCTTTTTTCTCTTTCTTTTTTTATTTTTATTTTTTACAAATATTCAAGTTATATGTTTTATAATGAAGAAACATGTCACCTTGTGCAGCGGTGTGTTTCACTAATGTGTTTATAATTGTTTTTGAAAAACAACAGAGGTCAGTAGCACAAGCAAATATGATAATCCAGGATGGAGTCTGACAGACATTAACCCTGAGTAGAGGCCATTCATTGTTGTTTCAGTCTCTGTATGGGGAATGCTGAAAACATGGTTACTATATTGAATATGACTGGCCTTATCCTCTAGACCTATAGTATATGTGTGGGGATAGAGAACAAAAACAGGTTAACTATACATTATCACCCAAAGTAGAATCTAAACTACAAAAAATTTGACTCTCTTCTGAGTCAATAATTATCATCCCATGCATGACAAGGCATTGCAAATGCCACTCACCATGATGGACCACACCCTTCAGACCATGGATTATGGGGTCAACAGCAGGATTGTCCTTCCCTCCCACCTGAGGAATAAAGAAAGATGTGCCGTACAATACACTGATTATCACATAGTACTATTATTCATAAAAAAACATCACAGCACACTGTACATATTTAAATAATTTGTATTTTGAATTGTACAAACATTTAAGTAATTCATTAAATACTTTTAATATTACACAAAATGCGTAAGTATATGTGGGTGCACACAATGCTTATATGATCTGTTATGAATTAATAGTAGTCAATCAGATAAAAAAAAAAAATTCTGGTAACGGTCTCCAAATAAATATAAATACATTTATCTTTGCATAAACAAATTTTAAAATTCTCTTTTTCCTAAAATAATAAATAGATTTTCATTACAAGGTAAATAACATTGTTTGGCAAGTTATTTAAAAACTGTAATCAATTACAGCTCATTATACATTTATATTTAAAAAGGAATTACATTACACATTACTCTGCACCAAAAGTAATGAGTAACAATACTTGTTACTATTGTTACTCAGCTGTCAGCTCTGTCAAAGGTGCCTTTATACAAATTAATCTCTGTGGCTGACATTTGCCATCAGCCAACCAAGCAGACATACAGTAACATATAAAGAAGACAGCTTTGGAATCACTTCACTAAACCTGTTGCAAATTACCCTTAAGCATGGAAAATAATGTAGCACTGCAATTTTTTTTATTTGTTGCATATTTACTAACACTGGTGATGTAAATGAGCACAGCCACAGCTGTATTAATATGAATACACCCCCACTTTGGATCTGTTGCCTGAAGAGGAACTTTAATATGGTTGAAGAAATCAACAAATGCATTTTGGAACTGCAATCATGTAGTCTACTGCCAGTCAAATCATCTTTTATTTTGTTCAGTAACTGAAGCATGGTTTGACCTGAAAGCCTGTCCTCCTCTGGTGAGCAATGCGATTTACAAACATCCTCTCTCATGGTCTTAACTCCAACAAGGTCTCAGATGACTAACTGCTAGCAAGTTAGTCATCTGAGACCTTGACTGCAGGGCCTGACAGCAGGGCCTCAAATTGTACACCTGCTTTCTCCTGCTGTTAAATTTCAGCCACAGTCCCCTCTGTCACAGCGGTGCTGAATCAGGCACTGAGGGTATTTGTATACATTTCCATTCTCTCCTTCCTAATTTTTGCATCCCTAAACAGGAACACCTTAAAACACATATTGCATGAGACCAGAGGTGCACATTCCTGCAGCACCTATTTTCTTCTGTATGTCTGCTGCAAAACCTCACTGCGACTCCTTAGTAAATATGAACATGTACAATTTCACAAATTAGTAAATATCCGCTAGTGTCACATTTCTCCTCTTTTGATAAATGCTATCTACCCCTCACCTCAGCCATACTCTGGACAAATCTGCCCACTGAATAACAAGACAGATTCCCAGTAGGAGTAACTGTCATGTACTGGATTTAATTGTAATCCCTTACACTACTTGTTACTGAAAAAAGTAATCACATTACTGTGACACATTTCCTGGCAATGCCTTACTGCCCAGCATTAATATACCCGCTATTGCTACAATGACTCAGTTCCCCTCAGGTATAAAGTGTCTGTTAATTTAAGCACAAATAAAACATCTCTTTGCAACTGTCTGCAAATGTTACGATTTAACTGGAATAATATATTAATAGGATAAGCATTTGTTGTAAAAACAGCAGACTTACGCTTGGTTACAATAACAGTACAGTACCTAGCAGCATGTGCTTTTAATCATCTAAAAAAAGAGAAAAAAACAACAGATTGGTGCTAAATTAGGAGAAAGAAAAGATGGGAGGGAGAGTCAAAAACAAACAAAAAAAACTGAAGAGCTGCTGAGAAAACAAGTGCAATGCAATTAGAAGAAATAAACAGCTGCAATCAATCTCTCACAGGTCTTTCCATCTGAATGTATGAGGTCACAGAAACACATGCATTTTCATTTACTTAAATTAGAGCATCAGTGCTATCATGGGGGTAGCAATCAAAATCAAAGAATTAAAAAACTATGCCTAAATGACATAATGTTGTCTTCCAAAACACCATATATAACCAGTTAAAAAAGACTTACATAGATGTTTTCTGCACCCAAAAACAAACACAGTTACGCCATTCAATGATGTTAGCAACTCTTTTGGACAATGTTACGTTAAGCCTTAAAAGTCTTCACTAAAATGAAACAATCAACATGTAACCTTGCTGTCCAAGAAACAGGAGGTACATTGCCATGGAATCAATTAGTTGTGCTGTGGCCTGCAGCATTTTTATGGTACATTTCAGTAAAGTAACACTATGCCTATTAGCAGCTGCTGTTTGCTACATACCATTGGATGTGTTGGCAGCTGTCAATTCATTGGTTTGATACTCTGCCAAATACTGACGTTATAAGGAGTGTCTTTTTCTACCATTTCTAAGCGAGGTTATCTTTAGAATGTGTAAGTAACACAAAAGCTGGCTTCAGCTGGTCGTGTGGCAAATCTGAGATTTTCTTCATCAGCCTGTCTCATGAATACCATGCCAGTTATTGCATGAGAATGATTTATATTCAAATATATGTAAAACATCTAGCAGGAAGCGCCTTTGAAAAGGTAGCTCGATAAGATCAGTTTGAATGCCATGCTGTTAAAATGGCAGAAAATCACAGCCATTAAACTAATACTTGCAGGTTAAATGTGTTGCTCACTTAATGTTTCTTGGAAATTATCATTTGAAAAATACATGTGTGACTTTTATGTTTCATGAAATACAATGGCAAAAATTCAGAGAAAAAAGAGGCATTTTGAACAATTCTCTCAACAATGCTTAATGTATCAAATTACACAAAAGGGAGTCCTCTGTCTCAGTGTACTGTAAAGTAATAGGTTATAATGAGCTGGATGTTGTGTCTACACTACAAGCGTAATGTAGCGTGTAGCATTTTGTGTAAACCTTGCAAAAAACCCTGACTTGTTTCTATACGGGGCACATGTTCACTAGCACAGTGGAAGTATTTTGTTTACAAAGAGCATACAGAACAGCCCACAGCAAATGCCTGAAAACACCATTTTCTTGTGTAGAACTGGATTGTGAAACCCATAGTAAAACACAGGGGGAACAAATAAAAACTAGAATTACTGCTTCAGTTGTATGCCTCCTCCAACCAGTCAAATTCACAGGAATGGAACAGATGTGATGTCACTGACTTTGACCTTTGACCACCAAAATCTATTCAGTTCATCCTTGAGCCTAAGGGGGATATTTACTAAACCAGTTGCAAACTACCATCAGGTGCGGAAACTATCGCAGCACTGCAATTATTTTATTTAGCAGCTTATTTACCCACACTAGTGTTATAAATGAGCATAGCCTCAGCTGTGTTAATTTGAATACACCTTCACTTTGAATCTGCTGCCTGAAGGCTGTTGTGCACATGTGGATGTGCCACAACAAGAGGATTTGCAGAAGAAAGTTTAAACTTACAGTGACTGAACCTTAATATGGTTGAAGAAATCAACAAATGCATTTTAGAACAGTGAGTCACTTAGTCTACTCCTGGTTTAATCTGAAAGTCTGTAGAAGTCCCTCACATTGTCCTCTGGCAAGTGATGCAATTTACAAAGATCATCTCGCTCCCCCTAACATCGAAGGGAGCTGGAGTTATGCTCTATACTGCAACTAGCCACCAGGGGGCAATCAATCCAGAAACCATATGTGAAGGTTGCCACATAGGGTTTTTCCATTTTTGAAACATTCCGAAATATGTCATGTGTTCTGCATTTCTTTCCGGTGCCCTCCACCTGCTTTAGACAGCAGTTCCTGGAGCTAAATTTCAGCACTCCTCACAAGGTAGTACTAAAATCAAGTTCCAGGAATGCAAGGAGGGAGGGGTGATACCATATTTATACTAATAAATAGAAAGCTTTATTGCCATTGCATAGTACTGCTACTCCTGTTTGTGCATTATCAATAAAACAATCACACAAGATAAAAAGACACACAATGTGTCTACCCAACTTTCAATGTAATAAATTAAAAAAAATTAATTTGACAATTATTGTGCAAGGTACAGCAATACACCACATAATCAAAAGTACACTATATACTGTCACAAAGCACAAGTGGGTATAAATTATAAACGGCTAGTTTTAATATGTGATATACTGTATATACTGTATATCAGAATAATCTGACTGTAGACCTTTGCATTTGTTACTGGCAACTTATCTCAAATCTGTCTGCATCTTGAGTTTATGCAAATATGGAGATTAGGTCATCTGTGCTGGCAGACTTGTCAACAACTGTGGTACAATAAATCCCAGAACAAGTGAGAGCAACAAAGTAAAATGAAAGGAACAGCAACGGGCATATATACAGTGCCTTGGGAAAGTATTCGGCCCCCTTGAACTTTGTGACCTTTTGCTACATTTCAGGCTTCAAACATAAAAATATAAAACTGTAATTTTTTGTGAAGAATCAACAACAAGTGGGACACAATCATGAAGTGGAACGAAATTTATTGGATATCTCAAACTTTTTTAACAAATAAAAAACTGAAAAATTGGGCGTGCAAAATTATTCAGCCCCCTTAAGTTAATACTTTGTAGCGCCACCTTTTGCTGCGATTACAGCTGTAAGTCGCTTGGGGTATGTCTCTATCAGTTTTGCACATCGAGAGACTGAAATTTTTGCCCATGCCTCCTTGCAAAACAGCTCGAGCTCAGTGAGGTTGGATAGAGAGCGTTTGTGAACAGCAGTTTTCCACAGATTCTCGATTGGATTCAGGTCTGGACTTTGACTTGGCCATTCTAACACCTGGATATGTTTATTTGTGAACCATTCCATTGTAGATTTGGCTTTATGTTTTGGATCATTGTCTTGTTGGAAGACAAAGCTCCGTCCCAGTCTCAGGTCTTTTGCAGACTCCATCAGGTTTCCTTCCAGAATGGTCCTGTATTTGGCTCCATCCATCTTCCCATCAATTTTAACCATCTTCCCTGTCCCTGCTGAAGAAAAGCAGGCCCAAACCAC